GTTGGTGGGAATTCAAGCTGGTGCAGCCACTCTGGAAAACAGTATGGAGGTTCCTCAAAAGGTTAAAAATAGAGCTACCCTATGACCCAGCAATTGTACTACTGGGTATTTACCCCAAAGATACAAAAGTAGGGATACGAAGGGGTACCTGCACCCCAATGTTTATAGCAGCCATGTCCACAATAGCCAAACTATGGAAAGAGCCTAGATGTCCATCAACAGATGAATGGATAAAGAAGATGTGGTGTGTAAGACTGAGGAATCACAGACCTGTACCCCTGAATCAAATAATACATTATATGTTAACAAAAAAAAAAAAGAAAGAAAAAAGTGACTCCAACTGTATTCTGTCTATAAGAGTATTCTGTCTATAAAAGTTTACTTTTAATATAAATGCACACATCGGTTAAAAAAAAGGAATGCAAAATAAATACCGCATTGACACTAATCAAGGAGAACCTGGCATAGCTATATTTATGATAGACAAAGGAGGATTTCATAGCAGAAAATGTCATTATGGAAAAAGAGCTCATTACATAATGATAAGAGTCATAAATTCATCAAGAGTACATAGCAATCCAAACATTTATCAATAGAACTTCAGAATAATTGAGAAAAATTGTTTGAAATGCAAGTAGAATACATAATTCCATAATTATAGTCCAAGATTTCAATATATGTCTCTCAGTAATTAATAGAATAAGTTGACAGAAAATCAGAAGATACAGAAGACTGGAACAATACTCCCAACTAACTTGACCTAATTGAAATTATAGTACACTCTACCCAAGAATAATGTAATACACATTCTGTTCAAGTGCACACAGAACATTTCAGAAAATAGACCATAGTCTGGTCCATAAAACTAACCTCAATAAATTTAAGTGGATCCAAGTCATACAAACTATGCTCTTTGACCAAGACGGGACTAAATTAGAACTCAATAAAAGAAAAATCTCTGGAAAATTCCTAATGTTGGAAACTAAATAGCACACTTCTGAATAATCCATGGATCAAAGAAGAATACAAAAGGGAATTTAGAAGGTATATTGAACTGAATGAAAATGAAAACACAATATCTCAAAACATGTGAGGATGTTGCTAAATTATCTCACATATTAGTAGCCTGAATGCTTCTATTAGAAAAAAAAAATCAAATTAATAGATCAGTTTTCACTACAAGAAACTATGGTGATTTTCTTTCTCTTTTCTTTAGGGGATAGGTAAATGGGAGTCCTTTAATACGGCTGAAGGTTGAATGAGGAGCCTGTGTGAATGAATACTGAAAGAAATACAGTGGAAGTAGGGAGTAGAAATTAATGAAATAGAAAATTGAAAAATAAGTGGTAAATAAGCACCAAAGTGATGTTCATTATCATTAGTCATTAGCGAAATGCAATTAAAACCACAGTGAGCTATCACTGCACACCTATTAGAATAGCTAAAATGTAAGGGACTGACTGTAACAAGTGTAGACCAAGATATAGAGCAACTAGAACTCTCACACACTGCTAGTGGGAATGTAAAATGGCACAGTTACTTTGGAAAATAGTTTGGCAGTTTCTTAAAAAGTAAAACACATAACCTATTATATTACCCAACCATTCCACTCCTAGGTATTAATGTAAGAGAAAAGAAAGCCTATGTTCATACAAAGACTTGTACACAACTATTCATTGCAAGTAGCTTTATTGTTAATAGTCAACAACTGGAAATTACCCACCTGTCTATCCATCAGCAGATGAAAGGATAATCAAATTGAGCTACACTCATAAGTGGAATCCCTCTCAGGAATAAAAAGAAATTAATTTTTTATACATGCCTTGAGGTGGCTGAATCTCAAAATAATTATGCTGAGTGAAAAAGCCAGATATAAGAATAGTACATATGGCAGAAATCCATTTATATTAAATTCTATAAATTGCAAACTAATCTACAGTGACAGAAAGCAGGTTAGTTGCCTGGGGACAGAAAGAGGTGGGCAGAAAGGGATAGGAAGCAGAGATTACAAGGGTGCAAAGGGAAAGTTTTGCAGGTGATAAATATGTTAATTATTTTGATGTTATTAATGGTTTTGTGGATGTATACATTTCTCAAAATTTATCAAATTGTACACTTTAAATATGTGTAGTTTATTGAATGTAGTTATATCTCAACAATTCAGGTAATAACTTCAAGAAAGAATATCTTTTTGATATTTAACCTCTCTGCTTTAGTCTCCTTATCTGTAAAATGGCCATAGTATTATGTACTGCTAAGCAGTCCTTAGCACGTAGCAAACAATTAATGTAACTCATTATTATTGGTATTGGCTTCTCTGCTCCATAATCTCCTAAATTTAGGTCCCATATTAGAATATGGGAACATCCTGGCATTGTGTGAAATAATGTGATCTTGAATGACCATAGGCACAGCTTAGAGACAAATCCACAAATAGACACCTATTGCTACAGACTTACTGGCTGGGCAAGAGAATGGTGCCATCTTCCCACTGCCAAGATCCATTTGCTGGAATTTGTATTAGTCCCATCCAATGATATGACTTCACCAATTTAAAGAAATCCTGTTTGAGACCACAAATAAAATCAGTGCTCAGAATTTTAGTTAATACAAGGCCATAATCATTCAATCATTTTTTCCCCACACTTGGGGAAATGCATTCTGTCCTCTAGTCTAATTCTGACTTAAACACTGTACATAATACCTACAATTTCTGTGCTTTCTTATTTTTATTTATTTTTTTAAATTTTGAATTTTAATTTTTTTAAAAGGGTTTTATTTATCTATTTGAGGGAGAGAGCAAGGGAGAGAGAGAGAGAGAGAGCACACAAGTGGGGGCGGAGGGCCAGGGGGAGAGGGAGAAGCAGGCTCTCCACTGAGCAAGGGGCCTGACGCAGGGATCCATCCCAAGACCCTGGGATCAGGACCTGACCTGAAGGCAGATGCTTAAGCGACTGAACCACCCAGGTGCCCAGTGCTTTCTTATTTTTGATGCAGAAAGATTTAGGGTGGATATATCTCAGTCTTAGTGCCTCTCTTATGTTTCAGGTTCATATTCCAGTGATTTGCCTCACATGTTAGGAATGAATATAGGAAAGGAAATTAAAACAAATACTCAACCTGATCCTCTCTGCTGTATATCTTCAGGAGACTGGAATTTTGAGACATACAAGAAGCTTGGCTCTGGTACCAGCTTTTGCTCTCATTAAAAAATTGATAGCAGTTATTTCTATAACATATCCAGTTTTTAGGACATGGGCCACAATAACTTTCTGAAAGAGAGAATATATTCTTAATTCTGTACAAGTCTGAACATTATAACAGATTTTGCCTAGACAGGTTAAATACTCTTATTGTAACTCTAACATTCCAGATAAACCAATCTGATCATCTCCAATGACATATCTTTATACATTTATATAGAGAGAGAGAGACAGATGCCAAAACTAAGTACCTTCTTTTTAGAAGCACTCTTTCATTGTTAACAAATAAAAAATATTGGAATGTTATGGCTCATGGACAAGAATTAATAATTTTCTTATACATTCTCTTGTTAACAACATTGGATATATGCCTATACTCAATTATATAGAGATTCATGTAATTTGTGCTTCAAAATATTAAAAAACTTTCACTTACCTTGCAAAGAAATTGGAGCTTCTTGGTTGAATAATGCTATTAAAATAATCATTAAGAGGATTAAGAGGTACCAACTTCCAGTTATAAAATAAGTCATGAGGATGAAAAGTACAGCATAGGGAATATAGTCAATAATATTGTAATAACATTGTATAGTGACAGATGGTGATTACACTCATCACTGTGAGCATGGAGTAATGTATAGAATTGTCAAATCACTATGTTGTACAACTAAAACTAATATAAAACTAATGTAAAACACAGTTCAATAATAAAAAAAATCAAAATTATTAAAAGGTTATTAGTAACATAGTCCTAGCAAAAGTAGACACATTTTTACACTAATAGGAAAAACATAAAGACACATACAATGTTGTTAGTTTATGTCTCTGTGCTTCTGAATGCTAATAAAAGTAATGCATTGCAATAGATCGAGAATGCTCTATCTACTTCTCTACTATCACTTACAATGTACGATTATGGCACCGCATATCATTACCATTATAATGAAATGGATCCCCATGGCTACAGCAATGGCGCGGGCTACCAAAAACGGAGATGCTGTCCAAAAAAAAAAAAAAAAAGAGTGAGAAAGAATAGAAAATAGGATTAAAAAGTTTTGGTATGTTCATGTTTGATATAAACGTTATGAGTGTTTTTTATGGGAGGAGTGATATCAGTACTTTTACCTTATTTTTCTCAGAACAAGTAAAATATGTACTTTGTAAGTGATTAAAAAAAAAAAGACAATAGAAATGCATATTCCCTCCTGTTTCTCTCTCAAAATTCTCCAGTTCCCTCCCTAGAATAAATCATGGTTATAATTTTTTATTTTTTTTTAATGTAGATACCATAACAAACACAGACAGTTCCCTTCAATCCTTTTTTAAAAAAATGTTGAAGAAAGTATGGAAAATATTGTTGGTGTTTTTTTTTGCTTAAGAAAATATCTTAGTGATTATTCTATATCATGTCTTATAAAGTCAAAATTTTATATATAGCTGTTTTCATTCCTTTCATTGGTATATGGACAAAATCTATTGACAGACATTTAATTTTTTCCAATGTGTATTTAAATCGTTTCTTAGTTTTGCTATTAGATATAACAATATGAATAACATTTTATATATATCTGTGCATATTTTTGAGTTCCTCTCTAAGAGAAATCCCTGAGAGAGTAATTGCTGAGTCAAAGGGCATTTTCATTTAAAATTTTTGTAATGATTGACATTTTCAGTCCAAAGAAGAAATACCAATTTGTTTAGTACCAAAATAAATTTAAAAGCCTGTTTGCTCACATCTTCTCTGCATTAAATATTATTCACATTTTAAAATGTATAAATCTTATAAGCAATATTTTTAATTTAAATTTTATTTTTTCTCTTATGAATAAGATTGGCATTTACTATGGTTAAATAATGCTTTTATTTTATTTCTCTGAGACTTCTCTTGTTTGTATTGAGTACCTAGTTCCTTTTTTACTTTTTGGGTTAAGGATATTAGTTCACTTCTTACCATATGTTTTGCAAACACACATCTCAGGTATTTTTGTTTTGACATTATGAAATTGTGGGGGTGCTGAAATGCATAATGGTTGACTTGATCAAATTTTCCTTTATGACTGATTCTTCTTTGGATATGAATAAAATGTCTTCATTATTCTGAGTTTATAAAGTATATTACACTCATGTGTCATCATGTTATATGGTTTCCTTTTTTATCTGACCTGTTTGGTATTTGTGTGTGTGTGTGTAATAAATAAGGTAGGAACTTAAATTTATAATTTTTTTCCCAAATGGGCACTGAATTTTTCTAACATCATTTATTGAATAAGTCAATGTGTTCTCATTGATATGAAATACCACCTTTAGCATGTAATACATTCATATTTGTATTTTCATTTATTCCTATATTCTTTACGTGTTTTCCATTCAAACTATATGTAGAATTCCCTTAGTTTTATAATATGCTTGAGTTTTTCACCGTATACACAATTGTATATTACATTTCTTTTTCAGAATAATTTGGCTATCATTACACTTTACATGTACCTTAAGAACTTAAAAAAAAAAGAACCTTAAGCTTTTCAAGAACCTGTACTTTTAAAATATGGTAATTTATCTTTCAATAGAGTCACATTAAATGCATAAATATATGGAGATAATTTACTTCTTTAAAATGTCTTTTCCCATTATGCATGTCTTATTTTATGTTCATCAACACAGCTTTAAATTAATAGATTTACTTCTAGGGTTTTTAATTAAAAAGTTTATTTCTGTCTTTTCAAAAAAATTTTGGTGTTATATATATGACATTTTTGTTTCATCACATTTTTCTTGTTTTTGTAGTTAAAGCAATTGATTTTTATATCTTATTTTCAATCAAGTCCTCATATCAGATTTCCTTATTGTTTGTCATATTTTTGGGTGAAGCTTTTGAGGGCTTTTTAAAGTATTTTAAATTACAAATTTTTGCAAATAATATTAATTTTGCCTTTTTATTGTAATTTCATATCATTTGCTTTTTTCTTTTTCTTGGTTATTCATGTTGGTTAGCACCAGCAGAACAATTAATATTACTCAACAGCAATGATAGCAAAAATTCTTGCCTTTTCTAACTATAATGAAAATGCTACTAACATTTTCAATAAGCATAATGATAGCTTCTGAATATATATATATATATATTTGAAAAACAGTATTTATATTTTAGAGATTTTAAAAATTAAGTCCTTTTTAAGAATTCACAGTGATTTTTATCCAAAACCTTTTTAACATTATGCATATGATCATGCAATCTTTCCCCTTTGATGACTACATATGGCACATTTCCATTCCTATAATCAACTCATAAGGTGGTGCTATCTGATAATCATTTATTTTTTAATATTTAATGAGAATTCATAGGTGAGAAGTCTGCTGTTTTCCTTTCTGTGTAAGTTATTTCAGGCTCTATTTTCAATGATATTCTGGCTTGATAAAAGACAGCTTGTCTTCATCAGTGCATTCTGAAACATTTCTGTGAATGGCAATCAAATTGTTGCTTCCACACCTTTTAAGAACAGAACTCTGAAAGATATTTTGTATTTCCTTTATCTTTTGTTTCCATTTCTATTTATTCCTCCTTAAAGTTAGTTGTTCAGTGCTCTCTTAGAAACTGCTGTCTCACATTCAATGCAATTTCTAGCAAGATTCCAACAGCATTTTTCACAGAGCTAGAATAAACAATCCTAAACTTTGTATGGAACCATGAGAGACTCTGAATACCCAAAGCAAACTTGAGAAAGAAAAGCAAAACTGGAAGCATTACAATTCCGGACTTCAAGTTATACTACAAAGGTGTAGTGATCAAAACAGTATGGTCCTGACACAAAAAAAGACACATAGATCAATAGACTAGAATAGAAAATCCAGAAATCAACCCACAACTCTAAGGTTAACCAATATTTGACAAAGCAGGAAAGAGTATCCAATGAAAAAGGACAGTCTCTTCAATAAATGGTGTTGGGAAAACTGGAGAGCAACATGCAGAAGAATGAAACTGGACCACTTTCTTACACCATATACAGAAATAAATTCAAAATTGATGAAAGACCTAAATGTGAGACAGGAAACCATGAAAATCCTAGAGGAGAACAGAGGCAGTAAACTCTTTTGACATCGGCTGTAGCAACTTCTTACTAGTATGTCTCCTGAGGCAAGGGAAACAAAAGCATAAATAAACTATTGGAACTTGTCAAAATAAAAAGCTTCTTCACAGTGAGGGAAACACTCAACAAAACTAAAAGGCGACCTACAGAATGGGAAAAGATATTTGCAAATGACATATCTGATAAAGGGTGAGTATCCAAAATATATGAAGAACTTATAAAAGTCAACACCCAAAAAACAAATAACCCAGTTAAAATGGGCAGAAGGCATGAATAGACATTTTCCAAAGAAGACATCCAAGTGGTCAACAGACACATGAAAAGATGCCCAACATCACTCATCATCAGGGGAATACAAATCAAACTATGATTAGAAATAACCTGACACCAGTCAAAATGGCTAAAATGAACAACACAGGAAACAAGAGATGTTTGTGAAGAATTGGACAAAAGGGAACCCTCATGCATTGTTGGTAGGAATGCAAACTGGTGTAGCTACCGTGGAAAAAAGTATGACGGTTCCTCAAAAAGTAAAAAATAGAACTATCCTACAATCCAACAATTGTACTAGGTATTTACCCAAAGGATGCAGAAATAACTAATTCAAAGGGATAGATGCACCCTGATGTTTACAGCAGCATTATCAACAATAGACAGATTATGGAAAGATCACAACTGTCCATTGACTGATAAATGGATAAAGAAGTGTGTGCGTGTGTGTATAGTGGAATATTACTCAGCCATCATAAAGAATGAAATCTTGCCATTTGCAATGATGTGGGTGGAGCTAGAGAGTTTTATGCCAAATAAAATCAGTCAGTCAGAGGAAGACAAATACGATATGATTTCACTCATATGTGGAATTTAAGAAACAAAACAAATGAACATAGGGGGGAAAAAAGGCAAACCAAGAAACAGACTCTTACCTATAGAGAAAAAACTGATGGTTACCAGAGGGGAGGTGGGTGGGGGCTGGGCAAGATAGATGATAGGGATTAAAGAGAGCACTTGTGATGAGTACCGGGTGTTGTATGTAAGTATTGAATCACTAAATTCTAAACCTGAAACTAATATTACACCATATGTTAACTAACTGGAATTTAAATAAAAACTTGAAAAAAATATCAAGAAACTGCTGTTTCAGTTGCTATTATTATGTTAATGATAATCTCATCCTTTGTAGGGCATGAAAAAATCCTAAACTGAACAATTTCTGCTAATTGTATTATATATTCCAATATTATACTAGAGTTAATTTCATTTCTGCTTTTCTCATTAAGGTAAAAGAAACTGAATGCTTATCACTGATCTAATCATATAGATTCCAAGATTCACCTCACTATACTGAGAGAAGACAAATGGAATATTGAACTTACGGTTTTCTCCACGTTTCCTTGTGATTAATGTAGACTTTCTCTTTTGCCATTGTGGAGAAGTACCATGCTTTACCAGTTCAGAGTTATAATTATGGATTTCATTCACCTCTAGAGAAAAACAATTCAGGCCAATAGGAGTCATAGACTTTCAGCCCCTTGGGTCACAATTTTTTATAATTTAACTTGCCATACTATTCATATCCTTTTTTAAAGTATAACATCAAGTTACTTTTGTTTTATATTACCTCATTATTATGATTTTTGCACTTCATAATATGAATAAAATTATTTTTATTCTATGGCAAAATCTTTTTTTTCTTAAGATTTTATTTATTTTGACAGAGAGAAAGAGAGAGTACAAGCAGGGGGAGCGGCAGGCAGAGGGAGAGGGAGAAGCAGGCTCTCTCAACAGGGAGCCCGATGTAGGGCTCCATCCCAGGGCCCTGGGATCATGACCTGAGCTGAAGGCAGACGCTTAACTGTCTGAGCCGCCTAGGCACCCCTCTATGGCAAATTATCTTTAGCAAGATCTTATGTACCATAAAATAAGTTAATTCTTAGTGTGTAATAAAATCTAACATTAAAATAAAGACAGTGTATAATAAAAAAGACAGGGGCCTAGGGAGTTAGACATGTGTTTAATTCATAGAGCCACATTTGCTAAGTTAATAACTTCACGAATTACACAAAAAAAAAAAAAGAAAAAAGAAAAAGAAAGGAAAAATAAAGAGGAAACAAAGGAAAAAAGGAAAGAAAAGAACAAAGGACATCAACACAACCTGTTATGAGTACTTTAAAAAGTGAAATTAAATAATATTCATTTAGAATCAATAATGTTAATCATGTAGTAAACAGTAAATGCCTTTCTTTTTTTTAGTGAAGGACATACAAATAATAAGGTGTAAAATTTCAAAGTAAGTACCAATAATCTTGTCTTTGAACAAAACAAGTAAAAAACCACTTTGCTCTCTTCTTGAAATAGTAATCATTACTGAATATGTAAAAACTTTTTATAATGAAATGTTAATACTAATTATCTTTTATACCTAAAATTAAACTAAAGCATTGTTTGTACATACCATATGTAACTTAATTATCAAACATGTGAAGAGGGTAGGTATTATTTTATGGATGAAGAAATTGAATGTTATAGGTGGCCAAAGTCATATTTGTATTTAATATAATGCTAGAAATAGAAATCTACTAATGTAAATATAGCATGTTTTATATCTCTGTTTGATAGAGAAAGGAAACTCAAGTGCATAGAAGCTGTGGATTGTCCCAGATCTCAAAACTAGAGACTAGTAAAAGTTTGACTAAAATTTTTCTAACTCCAAATCCTTATGCTGTCACTATTTCAGGCTACCTCAAATTGTGAAAGATTTTACTTTAGGTAGTTAATGAAACAAAGGAAGAAAAAAGTTCTCAAGTTTTTGAAAACTCCATTTAAAATATAACATGAAATGAACATAAGTGAATCAGAGTAATTTGATTTCTTATGCCTTGTATGCTAGTATCAAATTCTGGATATCTTAAAATTATATACAGGTCAAACTGCACATTTATGTGGAGAACACATACCCATGTTGTGACCAGCCCACTGATCTCGGATCAACTTCATTGTTTGATTATGACTATTTACTCCAGAGATGAATCAAAAATCTTCATTTTGAAGATGACATATCTTCCTTAGAAAAACAAGAATACAAAAATATCTCTCCCATTCATATATATAAAGGGGAAAAATGAAAATAAGAGTTCATACAAAGCCAGGCAAAATTAATTTTTTACGTATCTCTTGGTTATAAAATAATAAATAATTATTTCAAAAATATAATGAGTGTTTTTAATTCACCTACATTAAGCTACTTAACCAAAAATATTTTCCATCACAGATCTTGAATGACAACACATATAGTTTTCTATTTATAGTTATTTTATTTAGTGACAATTTTTTTTGGCAAGGCAAATTTGGGTAAGATATATGAATATTTGGATGTTTGTTCCTAATACATATTAATTCAACTTCTGTCCATATTATCATCATTATTATCATCATCACCACCATCATCATCATCTACAAGTTATCGCCATCATTATTAGCAAAAATAATCTCATGTTTATTTATATAGCAACATCTTACAGCGTCTAGAAGAGCTCTCAGAGAGAAATGACTATTTAGGGGCACCTGGGTGGCTCAGTCATTAAGCGTCTGCCTTGGTCTCGGGTCGTGGTCCCAGGATCCCAGGATGGAGCCACGCATCGGGCTCTGTGCTCAGTGGAAAGCCTGCTTCTCCCTCTCCCACTCCCCCTGCTTGTGTTCCCTCTCTCGCTATGTCACTCTCTGTCAAATAAATAAATAAAATC